GTAAAACTTTTGGGATGTTTTGCTGGTAATGACTGCTGGGGGTGATCTTAAAGATTGATTGATCGGTGAGCTGCAAGCCAGCAAAACTCTGCACTGGAGTGCGCCAAGTTGCTGGTGCGATCATGTGTCTTTGCAATAAATTTGCCTTTGCACATCTCGCTTTGTTGGGATAGATCTTAAAAGGAAAAAAAACCTTTTAATTGTTTTAGCAGCGTGAAAAAGATCCGACAACAGGTCTTGAATTGATATCGCAGACGGTTCTTAGAAAGTACATAATGTATGCGCGGGAAAATGTACATCCAAAACTGGAGCAAATGCCGCAAGAAAAAATTTCGAAATTATTTGCTGAAATGCGGAAGGAATCACTGGTATGTGGAATACTTTGTTTTTTGAGGTACTACAAGAATTTTATGATGGAATCCCGCACACAACTTCTAAATGTCTTAGGCGACGGGGTCAGTTGCGATAACAGTGCGTCATGTGGAATCGCTGATTCGCTTGGCCGAGGCGCATGCAAAAATGCATCTTCGCTCGTATGTTTGTGACGAGGACGTCGATGTTGCAGTGCGCGTGATACTTGAATCCTTCATAAGCACACAAAAGGCATCAATCATGCGCCAGATGAGGAGGGTACGTCGATGTTTTAGGAAAACTGCAAACCTGCAGTGCTATTACTACAATTGATTAGTTGAATTTATTGAAAAACATGACCAATTTTTTTTTGTATTAACAAACATACAGTGAATGAAGATTTTTTTTTGAAACATTTTTGAACAAAATTCTCTTTTAAACTTCCTGAAAATGGCTGATGCTGATCCTGCGTTTCCCCTAAGTCGGCTCCCTGGGGGCCAAGTCCCCTCATTTTCCTCCTTCGTTGGCTGTGCTTGTGTCCGAAATTTTTTAGAATGTTCTGTAATAGGCTCGCTTTTTGTTTTTAGACCATCTCATTATTCCCCTCTCCCAAGTCCCATAAAAACACATAGAAGTATTACGCGACTTTTCTTGCAAAAAAGAGTTTCTAATCCATAACTTTTTTTGTTGCTGTTTATGGTAGATTTTGCTTTTTACAGAACTTCGACAGACATCTTAATTTCAATCGTGACCACAATGAATTGCTTTTGTATCTTCTTAAACAGTTAGTGAAGGATCAGTTGCATTATGAGCGAGCACGCCATGCCGACGAGGCTTTGACGACTGTCGCTGTTGCAGAATCTGATTTTATCGAAAAAGTATCTTTTCTGTTCCGATTTCCATTGAAAACACGTTTTGCATCGTGTGTAGAGATGAATTTTACTGCATAATCAAACTTGACATAATTGGTTTTAACAGTGCACCTGCTCCACTTTTTGGTTGTCTACCGGAAAAGAACATTTGACAAGCTTTTCTCAAAAAAATTTTCAAATTCCAGTTTACTTTTATACAGTTATCAGTTGTCTTCTCATCGTTGCGCTTGTTCTCCCTATAATCGTTTTGATGACATTTTCGTTTCCGTAATTTTCGTTCCTATAATCGTCCCTGTCATCAGTCGAAGACGTTTTGGTTCCCTCATTCTTTCAATACCTGTAGCTCTTCCAGCGCTTCCGTACTTGGTCGTCACAGTCGGAGAAAGTGGGCTGTTGTGTGAGGGAGTTGATTAACATTGTAGGCCCAAGCCACACCAAGAGGCAACCTCGGTCTTAAAAAACCTCAACGCTAAGTATAAAAATGCACAGTTCTAGCATGGTTTTATTATAAATGTTTAGCATCATCAGTATTAATGCAAAACCGTTCATATTAAGACATAAAAGTGAAAAAAAAAACTATTCCAAAAAGAAATCTTTTTCCTTAAATTGAGTGATTTACGTCGGCTTTTTTGGGAGGAATATTTACAGTTTCTTGTAAGATTTTGAGTCGTAGTAATAAGTGTAACTAGCGACCCACCAACACTGTAAGCGACCCTCGGCCTCCCAAAATTTCTAAGCTCCCAGATCTCAAAATTGCTTATATTGTCATATTTGAGTTATATGCTGACCGCTTAAAATTTCATTCTAAAATCCACAGCTCGCTAGGGCGCGTATTACTGAATCGAGACTCCGGAATCGGTCTGCTGCCGCTGTTTCTAAAATTGCATGAACTGTCGGGTGCGAGGGCCAGATGTTGTTGTGATATCCCGAAGAGCAAAGCGATGCCAGGCTACTGCATCTCGTACTAAGATTTTCGAACGGGTACCCTGACAGAAATGGTTTACTATCAATGGGAAAAAGCTAAATATATTAAAGTGGTCAAGTGTGTGCAGAAATGGCATAAATTGTGTTTTGCCCTTCACATGTCGCCACCGTTCGCTGATTTTGATAATTTCTCGGATTTTTCAGGCCCAGCTTGCTCATATTGAAAATGTGAAAGCTTTCTACAAAAGTGAGCAGTTCACTTCGAATAACTTCACGTACGATCCCAAACGAAAGCTAATTGTTCAGTGTTTCTAGGAAGTGATTTTGTGATTGTTCCCAATTTGTTTATGCTGTTAGGATATTCATTTTGAGGACTTGTGTTATGCATTTACGAAGATGAAAGCAGCAGTCTTCATATTTAAATGAAGTGCATGACATGCTGCCACTTCAAACTAATTATAAAGGAGTGCTTGTATTTGTAGGATTTCCTTTCATCGAATGTCCTACTGAAGACAAGTGTGGCTGCATCCCTTCGGTCCCACTGCTTTTTGCTGCTGATGGCAGTAGCGAAGCCAACAAACCGCATGCTAATTTTATTTTTTATTTTTTAAGAAAATATCCCTCTTTTAGCTCTCGCAGTGGCACATCATGAATGAAAGGAGAGTGGTGAAGTCTTTTCCCTTTTTGTTCATTTTTCAGTTAATTTCGTCTATTTCTCTGTTTGGACTTCATTCACTTATTCTGTTTTTTGTTTACTAGTAGCCAGTGACACTTCCGACTATCGCGGATTTTATTGGGTTTTAGGTCTTCGCACTTTTTTCTGGGTGAAGGGAGGGCGGGAGCAGGGGAGGGGAGGTGGGGCAAGTTGGTACGTCTATATAGATGTGTCCCTGTTGCACGCAAAATGCTTCAAAATCATGGGAGCAAAAACTCGAAATTTATTCAGAAAAGCGCAAGTGAGGAGGAAAAAAGCTGCAAATTTGAATAATTAAAACTACTTCCGTTCCTGCGATGGTTTTGCGCACGCTTTGCTGAGCTTATCGTGTAGTTTTCACTGGATGCTGTGTCTCAGGCCCTATTATCATTCCTTTAATTTTTGTTTGAACGTCCGAAAAGGTCTGTTGAATGAATTTATGCTATAAAATTTAATTCCAACGATGCTTTTTGATACCACAGCTTGAGCTAAAAGCAGATGGACGAAAGAAAGTACCAGAAGTGGAGACGGAATGAGCAGGAGATGTGAGCGGCTAGATAATTAAAGCTCCAAAATGATAGGTCATTTGAAACCAAGCACACAGCACTGCTGATTCTACATCAAATAAAGTGTTAGGGACGCCAATTTTGCTCGTTTTTATATGTTTTGTCTCTGTGAAACGCGAGAAACGCGCGTTGTCGAAGAGTTCCTTGTATACATATATATATATGTATATATATATATATATATATATATATATAT